TTGAATTTATTGGGAAAATAAACTATGTATTCAAATTTGCTACACGATTTGCAATGCTTTGAAAATTTTAAGAGTGTTCGTGTATTGGAAATTAAGGTTAACAGGGAGATAGGTCTAAATAGAATACTATCTCACTTGTTAAATGCAAGAAAATATACCGTATTTAAAACGAATGTTTATTTTCCCTTGAATCCCTCTCAATTAATATATTAAAAACTAGCTTTCGTCTGAGACTTCATCCGCATGGAATTAAAAGAAATTCAAAAGTAAATAGCCTATATGTTCGTCCAGACTATCCTCTACATCTTTGCCAAATTTTACCGAGATCCGTTCAGCAGTTTAGGCTACAAACGCTAACAAACATCCATCCATCCATCTAAACTTTCGCATTTATAACATTAAGTAAGAAGTGAATTTGAAAATAATTTTCTAATAAAAAACATATTTTAGCAGAGCGTGGTTTCGATCCACGGACCTCTGGGTTATGGGCCCAGCACGCTTCCACTGCGCCACTCTGCTGTTGATACATTTGAGAAAAATTAAGTATGTATTTTACCGCTTCTTAAGCATGATTAGATAATTGTACTTTGACCCTAAAATGAGCTTGGTTATTATTATAACTGTAAAAAACTAAGCCAAAATAATCATATATCTAAAATAAAACTTGTTCAATAGAGAAATCTTGGTCAAAGGGAGTAATGTCTAATCTAATTTTCCCACAGGATATCAAGAGCAGAGTGGCGCAGTGGAAGCGTGCTGGGCCCATAACCCAGAGGTCCGTGGATCGAAACCACGCTCTGCTAAAATATTTTTTTTGTTAGATTTTTTTTTATTAAGTAAGGATATAAGTATATGATTTTTTTTAATTACCGTTTAATGTATTGAATTAAGAAAATATATCATAACAAGTCTGTACTGTAATTCGTGTATTTAGTTTTATATTCTAGAATATTTTTACTAAATAAAAGAAAGTAGGATTAAGGCCTGACAGTTGTAGTGACGTGGGTCAAAATTATGTCTGTTAGAAACATCTCGTTTTCAATTTATCGTCTTGAAAACATGACAGAAACCTTGTTGGTATATAACAAATTATTTATTTCTTAATATTATTTTATTAAATATAACAGATCTCTGATAAATTAAATAAAATTGAATAGCTTTCTCTGTAATGCAGACATAAGATTATACAACCACAACAGATGTATATTACATACGGAAGCGTGACTCTCCTGAGTGGGGTAAAAAATCCTTGAAGTTTACAGTTCCAAATAAACTAGACAAGGGTTGTTTGTGGTTGCGAATGTTATTAAGGGAGCAAACAGGGGGACGAGTATTTGGTAGCGTCGCATTGCGGCCCTCATTGTCTAAGGTCGGTAGCATAGCGAGCATTCTTGTTAACAAAGCTACGAAACCAATGTAATATCACTGCATTGTTTGTTGTACAAATGTTTACTATTAGTTCATAAAGTAATTTGATGAAATACAAATATAAATAAAAGGTTATTGGTCTAGTGTTAGTCTTTTGGTTTGAATAAAAAAAAATACATAAACTATACTGTGTTTAAACAATATCAAAAGATGTAAATGATTAATTTAGTAGTATTTTAAATTTGTATAAAATAAATTATATTAGCAGAGCGTGGTTTCGATCCACGGACCTCTGGGTTATGGGCCCAGCACGCTTCCACTGCGCCACTCTGCTGTTAATTCGAATATAGACATTACTATACCCTATTATGCTTAATTATCTTAAATACATTTCATATTACCAAACATTAGCCAATAAATTACATACACTACGAAATGCAAAAAAGCATGATGCAATATATTATTTTGTACTATCACGCGTTTATTGCTTACGACTGCTTATTGCATGATTTTCCATAGCTAAAACACATGTAAAGCGTAATAATGCTATCTCAATCTTATCTAGGAGCATGAAAGAGATGTCAATATATTGTACGAAAGATTTAGAAAAAATTACGTGTGAAAATGTGAACTAATTATTTAATGTTCACAAGCAACAGCAGAGTGGCGCAGTGGAAGCGTGCTGGGCCCATAACCCAGAGGTCCGTGGATCGAAACCACGCTCTGCTAACACTTCTTTTGTTGACGAAAATTGTATTCAGGGAGTTATTTTTTTCATTGCTTGGAACATTAAATTAATAATTATTTATTTATCACGACCTATTAATAATATTAGATTTTTTTTTAACTCCGCAAGATTAATCTTAGGACTCTACATATATGTATGTACATACAGATATACAAAGACGTGGTTTTCGTCAACCAAGAATGATGAAAATGTGTACCTTGCTTTGACAACAAGATATCATGAGCAGAGTGGCGCAGTGGAAGCGTGCTGGGCCCATAACCCAGAGGTCCGTGGATCGAAACCACGCTCTGCTAACACTTCTTTTGTTGACGAAAATTGTATTCAGGGAGTTATATTATTTTTTTCATTGCTTGGAACATTAAATTAATAATTATTTATTTATCACGACTTATTAATATTACAGATATTTTTTTTAACTGCACAACACTAATCTAAAGACTACGTTGGTATACAAAGAAGTGGTTTTCGTCAACCAAGAATGAAGTAAATGTGTACCTTGCTTTGACTACAGGATATCACAAGCAGAGTGGCGCAGTGGAAGCGTGCTGGGCCCATAACCCAGAGGTCCGTGGATCGAAACCACGCTCTGCTAACACTTCTTTTGTTGACGAAAATTGTATTCAGGGAGTTATATTATTGTTTTCATTGCTTGGAACATTAAATTAATAATTATTTATTTATCACGACTTATTAATATTACAGATATTTTTTTAACTGCACAACACTAATCTAAAGACTACGTTGGTATACAAAGAAGTGGTTTTCGTCAACCAAGAATGAAGTAAATGTGTACCTTGCTTTGACTACAGGATATCACAAGCAGAGTGGCGCAGTGGAAGCGTGCTGGGCCCATAACCCAGAGGTCCGTGGATCGAAACCACGCTCTGCTAAGGTAGTTATTTTTATTTTACTTCGTACCATTACATACTAAACTAGAGATAATTTTAACTACTTAATACTAGCTTTCGCCCGCGACTCCGTCCGCGTTAAATAAAAAAACAAGTAAGTATCTCTCTGCTCTACACTTATGCCAAATTACATCGAGATCCGTTCAGCCGTTTAGGCTACAAACTCTAACATCTATCCATCCATCCATCTAAACTTTTGCATATTAGTAAGATTAGTAAGAAGCAAGATACGATTATTAAGATAGTATCAATAAGATTAGTTCATGGACTTTTTTCATCATTCGAATTTCGAATTCACATAGCTACGTTTTCAGATGAAAAGATTTACCTTTTAAGATAAAGGATTTAATCAACACATTCTCTTTGTTCCTAGTCAGAGATTTTCAAAAGCTGGCTTGTTTTATTTTTGTTTTTTTCTATTTTACTTGGAGTTGTTTCACAACGCAACAGATGTTAAAGCCTTTCGGATTTATACGCCGTAAACAAAACCCGCATTGTATAATGCTTAGCTTTCATTTAAATGAAAAAATATTAAAGATTTTTGTTACCATTTTAACCGAAGAAGCATTATTTTAAAATGTATATTTAACGACATTACATTATGTTTCATTGCCTTTCCACAATCCACAATCTATACACAAATCGCAATAATATAAATCCATTGTAATAACACTTGAGCGATTATTGTCGTCCCTTTCATTAGCTTTGGCAAACTGAGACTACTATACTACTCGTGCGAAGCGTCGCTGATGCCCTTATGACGTCACAAATCACAAAAAACAGGCAATCTGACAAGATGAGCACGGGATTCCATCGTTGTTGTAGTGAGGGGAAAACATCAGCAAACATAAGCATAAATGTTTTACGGCAATAAAATTCTTTGGTAACCATTTGCAGAATGCAAACTCGACAGTGTCTTTGTAAAATCTCGCAGCGACGAATAAAATGTTCAAAGTTGTTTTATGTTAATTTTGTGTTTAAAGTGCTCGAGATGCAACTGAAGATCGCAGAGGAATGAATAATCTCTACTTCATGCAAACTTGCTCACAAACTGACATGCATTTCGTTGAAAACTGATTTCATCAGAAATATTTTGATAGCGAAATGTATACTGATTATTATAAATAACAAGCTTTCGCCCGCTAATCCGTCCGCATGGGGTAAAAAAACAAAAGTGATTATTCTATGTGTTCTTCCAGACTCCCTCTACATCTGTTCATTAAAATCCGTTCAGCCGTTACTACTACAAACTCCAACAAACATCCATCCATCCAAACTTTCTCATTTATAATATTAGTATGATAACAGTTTTAGTTTTGAAACTTTTTTCTTAGTGAAACTGCCTCAAACATTAATCGTATATCGTCTTTTCCTCTAACTTTATGTTACATTACTTTTTTAATAATGAATATAATAATATTTTCCTAACAATATTGTTGTTTTAAATAAATATAAATGTATAGATAAATAGCACAGATTAACAAATAACTTTTACGAATACAAAACACATCAAAAATAGTTAAAAATCTAACAATAAAAAAAAAAGTGCCAGCAACATTAAAGTTATTTCGGCTTTAATATTCCTTTATCCATTCAAACTGGAATGAAGAGTTTAAAAAGACAGAAAGAAATAAAACATGACGAGCGGCCGTTACGTTCACAAAGCCTTTTGTCGAGTCTAGTATTTTACAAAGGCTGCTTTGAAACATCACAATTCGTAATGAATCATTCCATTGGACGGATAGAAATTAATTTTATTACAAGAGTGGCAGGAGTTTTTTAATCAAACAATTTAAGTATGTAAACATGAATATCCAAAGCCAATAATCGATCTCTGTTATGGTTCAGGGCAATAGTGCAATTGAAACCCACGACCGCAAAATCGGTAAATTGGTAGTCCCAAAAATTTAAGTGTTTAAAACCTCTGGGTAAAGAAAATAAAACAAATATTTATTGTTAACATTATTACTTATTTATTATTGTTTTAAAACATTAATCCTTTTACCATCTACAGTTTTCATTAAAACCTCTTTAACACTTCTAACAATATTTTCATCTGTATAAAAAATGTATTCAGTTGAATTTGTGCCCATAGACAATTCACTCTTAACATTTATTTCTTTACAAGTTTTACAAGAACTATGTATTATTTTACATCCAATTTCAACAAAATCTTTAACATTATCTGCATTCACACCAGCGCCTGGCATTATTTCAATTCTATCTTCATTTATAATTAAAAGTTTTTGTAATAATTCAATAGCTTTTGGATCATTAGCTGATTCTTGTTGTCCGCTTGTTAGTAATCTAGTAAAACCTAATTTAATTATTCTATCTAAGGTATAACTAGGATCCAGGCATATATCAAAAGCCCTATGAAAAGTTACAAGTACAGGATATGCAGCTGTAATTACTCTTTGACAACTTTCTTCATCTATGTTATAAGTTTCTTTTAATGCTCCGAAGACAAATCTATCAACATTCAGAGTTTTATAATATTCAATATCTGACAACATTGTATCCATTTCTTGTGTAGTATAGCAAAAGTCTGAGCCACCTCTACATCTTATCATTATGTTTATTTTCGGTCTCTGGAAATAAAATACAACTTTAATAACAAAAATGCTTCCTGCTGTTTGTAGCTCTTGCTAATTTTGATGCAGTTTATTTAATATAGTGAATTAAGATGAAGAGAAATACTGCTAATTTTACATGTATTCACTGTGATGTAAATAAACACATTTGTGTATCAGTATTGGACCTATGCAAGCCGGGGCCGGTCACTAGTCCATATAAAATAACTAGCTAAACAAGGTTTTAGACATTTTATATAGAACTTAAATTATAACAAAAAATAAATTACCTTTATATTTTTGCAACAAAAATCTGTACAATGCTTATAAATTGGTTTGCCACAAGAAATGTTATCCATCTGTAAGAGAAAACTTTTAAATGCAACATGTTTTTTAAGTTGTTTAATAAGAGATGCTGGCAAAACAAACATCACGATGCTATTTTAAAAATTGATGATACTGAACATATCTAGAGGAACAAATCTTGCATAATCGTGGTAAGATTATTTACTAACCATTTTTAATATTTCCTTTACAAGTCCAGGGGATGGTGTCAACCCACCTTCTGGTAGTGAACTACATACTTCCAACTCATCGGCACCACCGTGAATTGCGTTTATAGCTGATTCCAAACTATCAATACAGACTTCTAACATACTGTATTGTTTAGTTTAGCTTTTACTATTTTATTTATAAGAGTCTACCTATGTAAAGTAATTTATAGTAGAACTGGTTACATGTTATCCAAAATTAAGCCTGAAATAATGAAGTTGTAAACAATCGTTCAAACTAAGTCCTATTTTTGAAATCAAAACAAACACGAAAAAGTAACGAAATGATAACAAAACAAATGTCAAAATGACAAATATCCTGGACTGGATACCAGAAGGAAAGGAAAGGGAAAACCAAGTCAAATTAAGTCCCTTTTTGGTTTCTTTGTTTTTTGGGGATTTTAAACATCCAGTTAAGGTGGTAAATTGAAAGTTTTTTTTTTAATTCTACCCTTGTCTAATAATTAATTTCTTAGGATTCCAAGTGGCACCACTTTGGTAAAAATATTTCTAAACGAAAGTAAATTCATCTGCCAGATCACTTAATTGGTGCTACATTCACGTTGGTTCTTTTTGACATTTCGAGTTAAAAGGACACGCGAACGTAGGCAAAATTTAGCCTTCGTTCGGTTTCTTTTACTAGGTAAACTTCTATTTTTTTCTTACTAAATATCACTTTCACGTAATAGGAATTCGTAGCTTTAATTTACATTTCAAACTTCTTGCATAAAAGTATAAACAATTACTCCCATATGATCATCATTGAGGTTATGCTAAACTTTGTGCCACATATTGAAAGAAAGTTTGCATAATTTGTCGTGAACATAATAGAATTTAAGTTAAATTTTTGCATTTAATCTCTTACAGTTATGTCTCGGAATAAACAACATGAGGAGACTGACAAACTCACACGTATTGCGATCGTGAATGCCGACCGTTGTAAGCCTAAAAGATGTAGGCAGGAGTGTAAGAAAAGCTGCCCGGTGGTGCGTATGGGCAAGCTATGCATCGAAGTAACACCCAACGATAAAATAGCCACAATATCCGAGGAACTTTGCATCGGTTGTGGTATTTGTGTCAAGGTAAGTCAACAAACATGTTTTTGAAGTTATTCCGCCTATTTTAGTCTTAAAAGTGTAATGATCTGCAGCCAGAGGATATCCACAATATTTCCAATTGGGCCCACCCACATTTGCATTTGTGTGTATATTATCAGAGTGCAATTTTGTTACAGAAATGTCCCTTTGATGCAATCACTATCATCAACATCCCATCCAATCTGGAGAAGCATACCACTCATCGGTATTCTAAAAACTCTTTCAAACTGCATCGTCTCCCAATCCCCCGTCCAGGAGAAGTGCTGGGGTTAGTAGGACAGAACGGTATTGGCAAGTCCACTGCCTTGAAGATTCTTGCTGGTAAACAAAAACCCAACTTGGGTAGATATGCAGTAAGTTTATTTTCATAATTAACAGCTAAAAATTGGCTTAAAAACCAGTAATTGGATAAATAAAATATGTGCCTCTGTTATTACTCTAGTCTTTATGAACCTTTTTTTCTGCTTCTAAATGTCACCAATTTGCTTTGAAAAAAAATAACAAGCTGAAATATTATATACCAAATGTATTTTTTAAATTAAAATTTACCTTTTATTATTATATCCTTGTCTACCCAGGTTGAGTCCATTGCATATGAAAGCTTACTTAGTATAAAAATAAAGAAATTGTCTATTACACTATAAGGAAGATAGCTTTTTAATAAAGATATGATAAATTTATGTTCGTGTTTTATGCATGCGATCCAGAAGTGCAATTATTGGGCTTCATAATGATCTATAGTCTAAAGGTTGACACCTTGACTTCACTTAAATGACTTTAATCTTATTTCTTACTAACACATAAATACAAAAATTAGATGGATAGTTGTTTGTATATTGTTTGTTGCTATATATCTCCAAATCAGGTGAATGGATCTTGCTGAGATTTAGCACTGATGTAGATCATACTCTGAAAGATAACATAGCCTACAAATAACGCATGTTTTTTTAAATTCCGATCAGAGTCGCGAGCGAGAGCTAGTCAATAAATACCATTTAAATAAACAATTGCATTTAATCACCTATGTTTTAGGATCCTCCGGATTGGCAGGAGATTCTCTCTCATTTCCGTGGCTCAGAGCTACAGAACTACTTCACCAAGATCCTTGAAGATGATTTGAAGGCTCTCATCAAGCCACAATATGTGGATCAGATTCCGAAGGCTGTGAAAGGAACTGTAGGACAATTGCTTAATAAAAAAGATGATAGAAAGAACCAGGCAATTATTTGTGAAATGCTGGGTGAGACTTATTATCTATTCTATTCTCTTCCAGTTTCCATTGTCCTGGGATGGAAGTGGATTTGACAGGATAAGGGACATATAGGAGAGGAAAATGTCCTTTTCTGTAACCTCATTCTTATTGTATAGATACAAAAAGCATAAGCTATCAATGAATAGCTAATAATTAACATAAATGTTGTAGATTTGACCCATATTCGTGATCGTGAAATCGCCGCATTGTCTGGTGGAGAGCTCCAACGCTTTGCGTGTGCGATGGTGTGCATTCAGAACGGTGATATCTTCATGTTTGATGAGCCATCTTCCTATTTGGATGTAAAGCAACGTCTTAACGCTGCCCGCACAATCCGGTCTCTAATACATCCAGACAAGTATGTATAAATACTGAATCTATAATATTAAAGCATAAACTCACTTGTTTGTTATGTAAGATGTCAGCAATCACAGCCTATTTTAGTATTGTCCTTTTCTTAATAAAGAGTTCTTTATTTTCGACATAGCCTATATATTTTCATACTATTTAATTTAGGGGGTAAATAAATTGGAAAAATAGTCATATGGGACAAAGACTATAAGCCGATAGCATCAAAGAATCAAGACTGTTTGGTAATGGTAATTTTTAGCCAATGGCAAAGAAATTCGTTCTAAATTAAGAATTAAAATTTTGACATTAGCAATGAAAAATTGTACAAATGTAAACAATTAAATGTAGTTTTTTATAGCATGCAGATGAAGCCGCATGGACACAGTTAGTTTGTAATAATTTTTCTCTTCCACAGATTTATTATTGTAGTGGAACATGACTTGTCTGTGCTGGATTATTTGTCAGATTTTATATGCTGCTTATATGGTGTACCTGGTGCTTATGGTGTTGTGACTATGCCTTTCTCCGTTCGAGAAGGTATGTGACACTATATTTTTAATTAGGTAAATAAATTATGAAATTATGATTAAAAAAACAAGGATATGTAAAATGTAATTCAATATGAAAATATTGTATAATGAAGTAAATTTAAACTATAAATAATTACAATATTCTATTGTTACAGGTATAAATATTTTCCTTGATGGTTTTGTACCCACAGAGAATATGAGATTCAGAACTGAATCTTTAGTATTCAAAGTTGCGGAGTCTGCTACTGAAGAAGAGGTTAGTTACAGATTATAATACATTTTTATTGCATAAAGAAAATTATTTCTCATGTACATAAAGTAAAGAAAAGACTCTTAAGTGCTCAAATATTTGCCACAGATTAAAAGAATGAATCACTATGAGTATCCCGAGATGTCTAAAAAAATGGGCGACTTTGGCCTTAAGGTGATGCCTGGTGAATTCTCGGACTCGGAAATTTTAGTATTACTAGGAGAAAATGGGACTGGAAAAACTACATTTATCAGAATGTTAGCCGGCAACTTGGAGCCGGATGAAGGTAAACTATTGCAATCTGTAATAAATAAAGTTACTTTTACTACAGTTATTTTAAACTATTTTCTACAGCAATATCAATGTTTTTCAATAAGGAAAAAAATAACTCAAATATTTAAACGTGTATCCGAACGGTTTCACATGTGGCAACACGAATTTACGAAATGTCAAATAAGTTATAAGTTGTCAATCGCTTTTGACTTGACGTAAAAATCTTTAAAGCGATATATAATACGAGTTTCTTAAATTTCTAAATCTAATTTAAATGTAAAACGTTCAATTGATTGAGATATTTCATTTAAAAGTTCCTAATTTTTCTTAAAAATGTAAATGACGCGTCGGTATTGAGGTTATAGGTTAAATGTAAAATAAGTGTATTTGAATGGACTGGAACCGTAGTATCAAGACTGTAGCATGGCTAGAACGGAATTATTTGATTTATTTTTCCATCCTGTATTTCAAAAGTGTTTAAAACATGCGGAATCTTCGATATGTACTGAAGGTATTGTTTGTACGTAGATATTGACGCGTCCTAGTTTTATAATTGCTGTTGGCTATTGAAGTTTCTTTTGAAAACTCTATTATTAATAGAATAGAAATTACAACTAAGCGTATTAATAAAACAATTGGTAGGAAATGGCTAAAAATTTTGAAAAAAAATTAGAAACTTCTGAAATTTCGTCATTGTTGTTTTCGATACTATCTTTTAATTCTAAAGTCACTAGCGTTAATAATACAACTGAGAGTATTTAATATAAGTACTATATAACATTATCTTAATTCAGGATCGGGCCAATTACCGCAGTTGCACATTAGTTATAAGCCACAGAAAATATCCCCCAAGTCCCAAGGCTTGGTCAGAAGCTTGCTGCATGATAAAATAAGAGATGCATATGTCCATCCACAGGTAATATTTCAATTTGTTTTTTTTACATTTCAAATAAAGTATATTTTCTGAATAGTTATATTTCAACATTTAAACAGTTTTGCATAGATTTCATTACTGTCCTGGTAGAGTTCAGTCCATCCGAGTCATGTTACTGTATGATAGCCCTTATATTTATTAGCACTTTGAAATTATTAACTTTATGCAAAAGGAAGGAAATTAATTACCTTTAATATTTGTAATTTATTACTTAATATGAAATGGTTTGGTATAGTTTAAATACTCAAATGCAAAAGTACTGATGGACAGCTTAATGGATCTCGACGAAATTTGGTACAGATAATAACATAGTCTCTAAGACATTGGTTATTTACTAAGTTTTTAATTCCGTGAGGATGAAGTTTTGGGTAAAAACTAGTGTCAGATGTCACTTGTATTATATTATAATTTTCAATGTTACAGTTTATCACAGATGTGATGAAACCGATGAAAATAGAAGAAATAATGGACCAAGAGGTACAGAACTTGTCTGGTGGTGAATTGCAGCGGGTAGCGTTAGTGCTGTGTTTGGGAAAACCTGCAGATGTCTACCTTATTGATGAACCTTCAGCTTATCTTGATTCCGAACAGCGTTTGGTTGCAGCTAAAGTTATAAAGCGGTATGAATTTCTTTTATTTACAAAATACTAATGCACGAAGCATCAAAGGTTTAAAAAGTTCTTCACTTTCGTGTAGTGAACTTTTAAATAATAATCTTTTGTTTATTTCATGGAATGATTGTTTACATATTTTTAAAGAGTTTTTACATTAGTTTAAAATTTAATTTCTATTATTATATAATTAAGAACAACAAATTAAGCTAAACTAACATATGTTTGGGTAACATCCTTAGTTTTTTTTTTAATTATGTCTTAACATTGTTATAGATTAATTCATTATTATTTTAACAGGTTTATCCTTCATGCGAAACGAACAGGCTTTGTGGTAGAGCACGATTTCATAATGGCGACATACCTCGCTGACCGGGTCATAGTATTTGAGGGTACTCCATCTTCGTTCGCGACTGCGCATGCGCCGCAATCCTTGCTCAACGGGATGAACAGATTCTTGGAACTTCTCGGCATCACATTCAGGCGAGACCCCAATAACTTCCGGCCTAGGATCAATAAACATGCCTCTGTTAAGGTAATATTAATATTTGTTTTTTTTTTTTGTTTTCAGTAATTGGTTACTGAAGTGGGATGTGTAGATGACTAGTTTTTTTATCTATGTTATTAAATCTGCACAAAGGTGTTGCTAACCAATTAAATCAAGGGGGAGGGTGGTCGTTTCTGAAAATATTTTTTATTTACTCCACAGAGTTTATCAACATGGGTCTATAAGAAAATTAGCATATTGAAGATATTTAAATTTTCAATATTATATTCAATATTTTTCAATATACAACCAACCCTGGATTGCCTCTTCCCCCCTACCCTTTTGTGATGCCAGTCTTTTACATGTTTTTACAAATAATGTTACTACAATAAATAGATAGATTGATTAAGAAATCTCTCAACTAAATTTTTTTAATCAAGTAATTTTTTTTGTATTCCATTTATCCTTTTTTTTGGAGTATTACAAGACATCCTTTTTTTTTAATTTGGTATTAATTTCTTTTGTTATTTCAGGATATGGAACAGAAAAGGGCAGGCCAATACTTCTTCTTGGAGGATTAAACTATTGGCTTATGTATACCGGAGTAATGTCACAATTGTATTGAACATCCTGCCGTCAATGTATTTACATTTTAATAAAATGAATATTAATGCAATTAAATCAATTTTATACGAACATAGCCTGCTTATTTACCTATAAAAATTATTTAAATATTACAAACTGAGTCAAATGTTTTCTGTCGAAATTTTTTTGGTTCCATTTAACTCAAATTTAACTTTTCCTGTTTAATTTATATGAATAAAACACCTATGTTAAGTTGTATAATTATAATTTGTCATGCGATATTGAAGTATTATTTCTACACCAAATATTTTTACCTAACAAAGATCCTTTCAAGTATGATGCATCTATTCCTATGGGAAAGACAGAAATGAGAAGACGAAAAAGAAAAGAATTCCATTTCGGACTTAACTCTATATGAGAAACCTAAAGCAGATATTAAATAATAATGGGAGATGCATAATCTAATTTCTTATTTTTCTTATTAATATTGTAAATGCGAAAGTTTATTGGATGGATGGATGTTTGTAGCCTAAACGGCTGCATAGATCTCGATGAAATTTGGCATAAACGTAGTGGATAGTCTGGAAGAACACATAGGCTACTTTTTTTTTAATTCCACGCAGACGAAAGCTATTAGAATGATAAAGTGGTAAAGAAGCAAGCGGTCAAATTAATTCGCCGAAATAAAGAAGCGATCCCTGCCCATAGGCTGCAAAAGCAGTTGCGTTTGTTTTTATGTCTTTCTTAAATTAATTCATGTTATATTAATCACTATTAGTACTCAATGATAGTCATTTGTGATTCACCTTTGTAGATATTTATTTAAATATGATGTCATTACGATAGTAAAACTGAATTAGTTTGATGACGAGAATACGTCTGTTTGTGATGACGTATACAGGAAAACCGATTCATAGTAAGCCGGAGTATTTTTTTCATTGAGCCAAGAAATCGAAGGGAACTATAAATAAAACACATATAATAATACAAACAGTAAAATATTCTTTACATTTCTCTTTGTAGTCATTTTAATCGAAAAAACAAATCCATTTGAGAAATAGTCAAATACGAATTTTATTCGAAGTTAGACTTCAAAGAGAGGTTATATGTGACGTAGCTTAAATAAAACAAATTTGGTCTTAGGTTTTCTAATAGCGGTACTAAGTGTTGAGATCGAGATGTTTTAAAATTCCTATATGCTAGTTGCCGGCTTTCCAATGTTCGCCGGTCTCGGTCTTCGGCTCGGCTCGCCGCGGCGTCGCCCGCGCGATGACATCATCGCTGCGATTACGTGGCCGTATCAGAAATCCCCAACTTTTGGAACATTTAGTTTGGGCCTAATCATTTTACCAATAATACCTTTACACAAAATGTAAGAAATATGTTATTGTTTAAAATTAATACCGATTATTTTTCTTGTGTGAAGAAAAATGTGTTCTTTTATTAAAAGTCATGCGCTGCTTTTTAATAGCTTTTAAATTGCTTCAAACTTGTTGATTACCGCGAATTTCCACTGTCTCAATACTTGTTTTAATAAAAGACTAAACCCTATTGTTGTAAACGTTATTTCAAAGAGTTTGACAAATGTTTCGACAGTGGAAACTCACACTTAACCTCATTGAAGGTTTTCGCAACGATATCCAAAGGTTTGTTATAGCTGACTTATGCAAGTGAGTGAGAGGGCGAACAAAACGGCCCGGGAGTGACCGACCTCCGCTCAGTCACTCCGCGCTCGCGAGTTCGTGTTTATTTCGGAATACACTTCATAGTAATTCGGTTGGGTGTGTCGCTGAAATTAAATAAAAAGTACGTATAATTAATTTATCTATACGTTAATTCATGTAAAACATTAACTTAATGTAAATACTAGTGATTTTATTAACAATTGTATTGAATATAGTCGTAAAATAATTGTAAATCAGGCGTTGTCTGTTTGTTATTTGCTAAGCGGTAAAATGCCGGTCCACGTTAACAGCAATGGAATTATTTTTAGAGGCGCCAAATAATTGATAGTCGGGTGTGAATTTAATACACAATGTGTTTTTCTGTTTTAGTAAATATTCACCATGAGCGGCCAACAATACTACCCGTACAAGGTAAGTTTTCCTCCTACATGTAAGGTCATACTTCTATCCATAGTATCGATTCTGAAGTGATGATGTCATCTTTTCGGAGCAAGGTTGGCGGTATACGCTGTTCATTTATTTATGCAATGAGTAAACAGGTTGTATGTACTTGATATTTAGATTCATGATCTGATTTAACTCACATTATGAGGAAAGTAATTGAAAATGAGGCGAGCGACAAGAAAACTTTTTTGCCTAATACAAAGCTATATAGTCACTTGGATTGTGACATTTATTTTTTATGATTATTGAAGATTTTTGCCGGATATTTGTATATTTTCCTTTAAGATAAAATTTACTATAGACAATTTACGGCAATAGTCCATTCATGAAATAGATTCATATTAATAATGCTGTGTGCGTTTATGTAATTTTTAATTTTATCTTATTTGGGCTAAGACTAAAAATGAAACTAAGTTCGAATCTGGTATAGTAGGTACATAACTAAGTTTTAAACCAGGATCAAGACTAAATGATTATTTTTCCCTTAGTGTACCCCCACGGTGTACCCCGCGGAGCCCTTTGACCCTGCGGCGGATGCCGAGACCCTCAGGAAGGCAATGAAGGGCTTTGGCACCGACGAGAAAGCTATCATCGATGTTCTATGCCGCCGCGGTATTGTGCAACGATTGGAGATCGCTGAAACATTCAAGACTAACTATGGAAAGGTAAGTTTGTAAATATTGGTATCTTAGATTGTGCTATGGCACCGAATTATGACGTCATAGCTGTCAAATCGATAGTAAGGGTCTGTAAAACAGATAATAAATTAAAAAAGTACTTTACGATCAAAGACACATATGAGTACCAATTAAATCTTGGATCGCAATTTATTTTTAGCATTCAAAACTGGTTTCAAGAATGCCATTTTACCCTTATGTTGTTTTGTATAAGAATTTTAAAAGCATTTTTTTATGTTATCAATTCTAGTTACTCTTTATTTAAGCCATTATGTTTATCTTTTAACCTCTCAACACCTTTCCACTATCTGTCAGCCATTACACCTTTAGTTATTTACGACTGTATTTTCAAACGATAATTTAAAAAAATTACAACAATGTTTGTGAAAACATTACAAAAAATATCTGGTTTAGTAAACATTTTGATATAGTATTAGACAACTTATTTAATTGATACTGTCGCTTTTAACTCAGAGCAATACTTCTCGTCAAGACTTAGGATGCGCGCCAAATCTAACAGCTGTCAGCTAGGGACGTGACGTTTATGCCGATAATCTAGAGTTGCGCCAATTCTATAGCACGGTACTAATTTTATTCCTAACAATAGGAATTGAAAATTGTTTTTTTTTTTGAGATAATTGTTTGTGTGTGTGTGTTTTTTTTAATTATTACAATCTTATATGAAAGTTTAATAACTAACTACCCAAATTAACGAAGTCAGAGAATCCGCATCTCAAGCCTTGGTCTAGCCACGACTAAGATTCTAATCATGTATTTATTGTGGCCTTGGACACTTTAATGTAAGCAAAGTGCGGCCTCAAACCAAGTTAGTCATCGCTGAATCATTTCCCATCGTTATTAACACACTGTTTTTAGATAAAATCCTACTAATAGATTCTAATTATGCGCCCTTGATACCTTAAAATATCTACGTGAATTCCGTAAACACATTTTCATACGTTAAAATATTTTTTTAATTTCTATATCAGCTTCTACAGACTCTTGGTCCATATCCTATTTGCACTTTTTTTTTCTTTTCTTTTTTTACGTTAAAAATTCATTACGTTCTACTCTTTATAAATCAGTTTCTGTCATTTATTGACCTTATTTTTCTTGTAAAGATAAAAATAAATAAATCTATGAACAATATATAAACATATACCTTGTTTTCGCAAGATTTCATATCTTATCGGTTTGTTTACTTTCTGTCTTTATTGTATCCACATCGTACATATCAGATACATAGTTACATTCTAAGATTGCAGTTTTCACATAACAGCAAAGCGTGTTTGAATCACATCATATCCGTAATCTATGTGAATGTCATGGTAACTATTGCTATGAACTAAAGATTATTGAGTACATTACCTTGTGAAAATTCAAACTCTAAAACTGCCAGACTTATTGAGCCTGAGGCGTCCAACAACTTTGGCAATCGCTGTACAAGACTAGTCTCTATTGGGAGTTAGTATCTTGTGTGTACTATGTTCTTTTTTGTACAGGAATGTTTTACGTAGCTAGTGGATAGCATAGCTAATGGATGACCAGTCGACCTAATTCCGTAAAATGGACGTTTTCGTGTCTCACGCTATAAAAGCTTTTATGATTTTAACGTTTTAACAAATTGTGAAATTCTTTATTGGTCGCTAGTGATTTAAATATCTTGTTTGAAAATGTTAAGATTTATGGTCTGTCCCACCAAATTGTAAATAGTCTGATAACAATCGAACGTGTAAAATGTGACGTAAATGTCGGATTTTGTTCCCTTATCTGAGAGTGACATCATTTTTTAAGCTATCTGAGCCTCTATCAGCCGGTGGTGGGACAGGCCCTAAATATCTAATATATTCAATGATTCTGTTCATTTGTCTTTAAAACATTTAAAACAACATTTATCTAAGGTTTAACAATACAATGGGCTAATTGAAATAATTTATAACACGACCGCGATGCTCTGAATTATCTTTTAAAATAATAATATTCATGCAAAAAATTCTTGCTTAAATATTTCAAGAAGTCTCGTGAATTATGATTATTAAGTAATTCTTAAATTCCAACTACTTGAATTTAAAACCAACAAACACTATGAATTAAAAATAGGAAGAATTTTCAAAGTCCATTGTCACCCTTGTATTAGCTTATAAAGGACATTTCCCTCGCGAAATCCTCTAATCCATTCGTATAATTTTTTCCTTTAGGACCTGATCAGCGAACTAAAGAGTGAACTGACTGGTAACTTGGAGAACGTGATCGTTGCGTTGATGACTCCACTACCTCATTACTACGCCAAGGAGCTACACGACGCCGTCTCCGGCCTGGGAACTGACGAGGAAGCCATCATTGAGATCCTCTGCACGTTATCCAACTACGGCATCCGTACTATCTCGGCTTTCTATGAACAATGTGAGTATTGTTAATATCTCATCATCAGCTCACTATAAGACCCCACCGATGGGCTCGGAGCCTTTTTGATGGGAATGCTTTATGCATACTCCGCGCCCGGGAGGACGCGAAGTTATGTGGGATAAACCATCTCTGGTTCCTCCTACGCACGATGGGGGGTACGCTATCAGTACTTCTCCGCGGCCCCGAAGGGGGGGGGGGGTTGGGCTCGGAGCCTACCCTAAGTAAGGGGTGACTTAATATCTGCATCCAACTAATTCATTTTAGGATTTCCCTTCGAATTCCTTAATTAGGAAGATATTCTTGCGTGTGTGTTTCATGCATGTGGGTTTTGTGTGTGTAGATTCTTGATCTTCTGTATGAGATATTCAATTCGAGTTTTCCATGTTATAGGGATACAGTCAGAAGGGTTTTTTAATTTACAAAGTCCTATTCAATTTTTGTATTAATTCTAAACGTTTTTTCTAATAATAAATTGAAAAATTGTTTATTCCAAATGAAATAATTGTAAATATTCATCTTAATTGTTAAATTCATCCGTGGTCTCTTTCTGGAATGTAAAAGCAACCGACAGGGGTCTGAATTTGGTAATTGCTATAATCTGCAAATGAATTTGACCTCTACTGCGGTCGACAAACTGGTTATTAATCTGACAAACAGTCCTACACATTGGAATACCAGACGAATTACATACAGATAAGGAAATTTATATCCTATCTTTTAAACATATATTTGATGCGATTTGAACTAAAAGGTTTAGCAATATAGCTGTCGCCCACGATTTCGAATTAAAAAACTTAATTAGTTGGCTAAATGTCCTTCCAGACTATGTTCTACATCTATACATTTTATCATATAGGCTTCTGGATACGTAAAACATCCATCCATCCATCCATCCATCTATAATTCTGAATAATATTAGTAACAGTGGTAGAGCCCGCTTTAACATCTTCGCACGAATAAGCCGGCACGCCCGGTGTAATACCTCGACCACACAGAAAACAGACGTGAAGTGGAAGCAATTCCGCGGTTCATCTATTGAGTGTGGTGCCGGAGGCCTAATTTTAGTCCTTTACCTTTTCCCTTCCTTAAGAGGAAAGGATGGGAAGGAAAAGTGGACTGGACGGTGGAGGAGACGCATAGGAAGGGGAAATGTTCTCTTTATGTGTGTCACCTCCGTCAATTTAATGTAGGCAACGCATCTGTAATTGGGGATGTTTATGGGCAGTGGTCGCTTTCCATGTCGGTGGATTCAGGTGGCCACTTACGTTTGCCACCTTATATTATAAAAAAAGAAGTGATATAGCTTTTATACTAACAGATCTACGATAAATGGAGAATTCTTTCACTGTACGTGTTTCCCAATACTTACGTGATTACCTCGTTGATGTTCACGGAACTAAAATACTGCAATGCGTTCTATATTCCAAACAATTCACCTACGTTAACCGTTTTCTCATGGATAAATTCGTTTATTATTTTACCTTAAACGTTGAAGGTCAATACTTTAAATTCACTACGAGTATTCTATAATAAATACTAACTAAACAAACAAAAAATAAATAATTCTCCTCACGATCAAATTAGAGACAACTTACTTAGTCAGTAAAATAATGTTTATTTTAATTTATAACTAGCTTTTGCCCGCGGTTCCGTCCGCGTTGAATAAAAAAAGTAAGGAGCTTATGTGTTCTTCCAGACTATGTTCTACATCTATGCCAAATTTCACCCAGATTTCAGCCATTAAGGCTACAAACTAATAACCTTCCATCAATCTAAACTTTTACATTTATAATATTAGTGTGATTGAAAAAGTGCTTTGTCGCAAAGCGATCAAATCGTTGGGTGAAAGGCCATTTGTTTTAAGCGCCATTAGGTTAAATGTTCACGAGAGCTATTTAAAGTCTTCATTTTTAGAAAAAAAAATAAATGCAAATACTGGAAATAATTTCAATTGAAAGATTTTCAAACCGGTTCTAGATTACAATTACTATAATTCTGCATACTTCATTATTTATTTCATATTTCAAATCCTGAATATATGAGTCAACATCGCGTAAAATGGCGGTTGAATCAAATAGCCTTTCGCACATCGATATGTATAATTATGTGTATAATCGCCAATAAGTATAATTATAGAATACAAGTTATAGAAATAAAAGAAATAAATCTCATTGGAGTTTTCACAATAGTAGTTATCTAACCGCAGTAACCGCTTATTGGTATACAAATAAACTATATTACTGCTAATATGATACCAGAAATACGAAACCTGCTGGAACTCCTTTGTTCCACAATTCAAACACTTACTATCTCACTCTTTCTCTTTGAATAGAATAGACAACAATGTGTTTCAATAAACGCAATGGTATTTCATGTTAAAATCGCTTTACAAATAGAACTAAAATTCATTCATACTTCAAGGTATTTTATTAAATTAGCCTTTGCAATAACTCCTATTCATCGAATACAATGGGAAAGATCGCCTTGAGCCTGAAGATCACGTCTATGAGCATACGAAGAGTTTCTAAAGAAGCACAAAGACGCATAACATCTCATTGTTTTTAATAAAACAAAACTACAGAGTAATTTGAAAATAAAGCCCGCTACATACGTTCATTTAATTATTAAGGCTACACAAAATAATAGAATAACGTGAAAGCTTACAGAATACTTATTCAATTCACTTTACAAAGACACAAGCTATTTTTAGGTCAGAGAAGGGCCTAGCCCTGCATATTAAGTTACATTGGTAACAACGGGCGTGTCCAACGTGCACGAATAGATCACAATTTACGTTAAAAAAAATGTTAAAACGGACTGTAACTTGTAACGTCATTAACATAACACTGTCCGGTGAGAACAAAAATGCATTCCGTGAAAAAAGTTTACGTTTAAGAAATGAAGAGTAAATATTATTCTGATACTGGCTGAATTTACTAGCCAATGTTTTTCTTTATAAATTAAAAAGTTAACACGGAAGTACTCAACATAAACGGTTAGGCGCACTACCGTCGCCGGCGATAGGTTAGGGAGAGGCGTGGCACAGCCCAGGGCGCATGACATCACGCCTTTTTCGTATGATATTTGTCTTGCACTTAGGGGACGCTATAAAATATCGCCCTTGGTAGTTAATATTTCGAGCAGCTAATACTACTTTCGACTATACCACTAATAAAGATTTTATTTAAAATGTTTGTATGTTTTGTTACAGTGTACGGCAAGAGCTTAGAATCAGACTTGAAGGGTGACACATCTGGTCACTTCAAGCGCCTCTGCGTGTCTCTATGCATGGCCAACCGCGACGAGAACCAGGGTGTGGACGAGGCGGGAGCAAAGAGCGATGCCGAAGCACTCGCTAATGCAGGGGAAGGACAATGGGGAACTGACGAATCAGTCTTCAACTCCATTCTTATCACACGCTCTTATCAACAACTGAGACAGGTATGTTGAGATAAGGAAACCATTGTGATTTTACAATTGTATTATCTTTAAAAGTGTTAAATAATTGGTAATAACGTTATTATTGAAGCTGGTCCAAAAAGCATAGACAAAACGATTTAATTTATCTACAAATCCGAAAAAAAAACTCGGGTTTTAATGTATTTATTATATACTGCAGCAGTCATAAACATGCTTTAACAGAAATGGCGTCAGTTCCATAATTTTTGGCACTGTAACAATAAGTAAAGTGAATCAATTTGAATTTGTTGATTCAATCAATATGTGATTTCAGTCATGTGTTGGCGCGCACAAGCCGCCATATTGCACGATGACGTATTCAATTGCAAACTGAGCTCACAATATGTTAAAAAATACAGACTATAAATATTTATCAGCAATGACCTTGAAAGTTCAAAAACCTTGTAACAAGTTTATAAACCTCATATATGATATTAAAATTCTTTAAATGTTAATACGACGCATAAATAACAAAATTATCTCCAATCAATTCCCCCAACATCTTCAAAAACATTGGAAAGTCCTGTACATTATCAACGTAAATTCCTTCACTAAAACCCGTAGCAAATTAATTTCTCTGACTCGCCTTACGTATGACCTCGGCAATTACTGATAAAGTCTGCCAGTGAAGTTTAAAACTAAATCAAACACGAATATTACAGATCTTCGCTGAATACGAAGCTTTGACTGGTAAAGATGTGGAGGAAACCATCAAGAAAGAGTTTTCTGGAAGCATTGAGAAGGGTATGCTGGCTATTGGTAAGTTATATTCTTTAGTGCGCTAAAAAAATCTAAAAATGTTATCAATCCTTTCCATATTTCACATAAACACTTTTTAGTGTGACTGCAATTATGATATTGTACAGACCTGTCTATTAAGAAAAAATATAAATTTTACGGTGAAACCATAAGGAAAAATATACAGTTTAATAACAATGGGCTTTATTTTTAGGCAAGGGATATCATTAATATTTGATAAATATTTTGTGTGATTTTAAAGTGTAGATAATGCATAGTTTATGATTGTTATACTAACTTGATCATAAAGCATTGTAATGTTCAGCGACCAATGCTAAGGCCACGTAATACGCGTCAGGAAATGACTATATCACCTTGACTGACTCATTTTTTTAGTATTATGGCATTGTTCATGATTGAATTCACAAAAATGTCTTGAGCAATACAATTAAAAAAAAACATAGACAATTGTGTACCTCCTTCTTTTGGGAAGTCGGACAAAAATACATAGAACCTGTCCCACCAAATTGTAAATTGTTTGATAACAATCCAACATGTAAAATATGTGATGGAAATATCGGATTTTGTTCCCTTATCTGAGTGACTTCATTTTTAAGCTATCTGAACCTTTATCAACCAGTGGTGGGACAGGCCCTTAATGTCTAAGGAGACTAAAACAAGATCAAAATTACCTAAATTGTAATTGTAAAAAAAATGCTCTTCTTCAAATGTTTTCTTATTCTTTGACAAGTGTTAAATAGAGATTAAGTTTGGTGGTCAATTTAAAAAGATTGTATACCATACATAATACTGGCAACTAATAGTATTTTGCGGCTGTAAGGTTTCGCCATTTTGGCGCTGAAGTTTGCAGTAGGTAGAGAATTCGAACTAAATATAGAATTAACTTCAATAGGTGATTTTGAGTCTGAAGGAAGCCGAAGCTGTTGTTTCCAAGCAATGAACTATCCATTTATACAGATTGGTGACTAAAAAATTATTTCTCCTACTTCTAGTGAAATGCGTAAAGAGCAAAGTGGGTTTCTTCGCTGAGCGTTTGTACTATTCGATGAAGGGACTCGGTACCAACGACAAGACTTTGATCAGAATCGTCGTGAGCCGTTCTGAAATCGATTTGGGAGACATCAAACAGGCGTTCTTAGATAAATACGGAAAGCCTTTGGAGACTTGGATCGCTGTGAGTTTTATAATCTGTATTTTTATAGAAATCACTTGATCATGCTTTATTTTTGTTCCTATGCACTTTAATAATTAGATTCATATTTACTAAAACTACTAAAACCATTATTTTTTATCTGTGTTGTGCTAACATTCATCAGAAATAGCTAATAACCATATAATAGTTTGTAACATTTTTAAGTATATATTCTTTTCTTTTTAGAAATAATTCGCATGTTAGTCCAAAAGGATTTTTGTGAAATTAACAGCATGGATTTAAAATATATTTTTCTATATTGATTACAAAGAAACTGACCCATTATTTCAATATACGATGAATTACAATAATATATATTTATTCTAGCATGGGGGATTATAATGGCGCGAAATTCATAATTATAACATAAAAAACTCCATTACCATAGATTATACAGATCTCTTATCAATGTTATGTGATTAATTGATTTTCAAATAGTGAAGTTTGTTGTTAATAATTTTGTATATCCGTTTGGTTTTTTTCAAAGAAAAAAGATATTTTTTTATTATCAAATCTTTAGAATAGCAAATTTTTCTTGCAGGACGATACTTCCGGGGATTACAGGAAGGCATTGTTGACCCTTGTCGAATAATTCGGAGGACAGCGTTCGCTAAAAATCTCTTTAGTTCTATGTTAGGTTTATTTTATTATAATCGATGTAAATTTCGTTCACAAAGATCTGTATATTACGCTTATTTCACATCATTGTAATTTTCCTCACCGTAGCTAACAGCTTCGTTGCATGTGGCAGTGGGGCAATGGGGCAGTGGGACAGGATGAACCTTGTCTATGGTTCGCTTTACCAAGTAAATACCTTTTTCAGGAGGAGATCGATGGTCCAATTGGCGTTCTCCTATCCACATTGTGTTACTAAGACATGGAGATTTTATTTAACAATTATTCCATATAATCGAATATTTACTGGTGTGAAATAACCTTTATGCCTTCGGGTATCGCATTTCAAATATATTTTTTTATTAAGAATATTTATATTGTGTACTCTAATGCTTATATGCACGTTTTATTGAAATGTAATGGGACAGTTTCTGAATAGTTTATATTTGTATGTTATAGTATTGGTTTGATATTTGTTTACAGGAAGACCTAAATGGTGACTTCAGGAATGTGCTAGTCACACTTTGTGCTTAATCCTGCAAAATAGATATATTTTTGTAGCATTTGTTAAGCCCTCTACATACGTTCATACGTCTGTAGCGGGTTTTATGTTTTTAGCTTTTGCATGATTCGACATTAGAGAGTTACAAAACGTATGTAATATTTTGCAGGATGATACGAAAGGGGACTACAAACGCGTCTTACTCACTCTCGTTTCTTAAGAAAAGCATAATAAAGACTACATTTAATTTAGAGTCGCTTCAAACTGAGCTATGTTCCGATGTGAAACTGCCTTTATATTTTTGTGTAACTGTTCAAATGGTTTTAGAATAAAAAGCTTGATATTTTGTGAAAATGAGATATATTTATTGGTGCTGTAGTTTTGTTTATGATATTTACAATTGATTAATAAAACTATGTATGTTCAAGATGTGTTTCAATTAACATCCCTTATCCCGTCTGATGTTATCTAAAACAAAGTCATCTTATATTTAAGCTGGCTATGGACATTCAGTTCTACTTGTGTAGGCAAAATTTTAATTGAAGGCTAACATTTTACCCGCACATGAACTCATTTCACATGAAATAGAAAGAGATAGCAAATGATAAAATTCAATGACAGTAGTAAAATTATTCACAGACATATTTACGTAGAAGGCATTAAAATATGGAAAGATGGCACACACAATATTTTAGCTTCGAATTTAATTTTTTCTTATATACTAGCTTTTGCCAGCGGCTTCGTCCGCACGGAATAAAATCTAGTAATAAATATAGTAAACCATTTAGAAACCTATCTTATCTTGCCCATTAAAAAGTTTTGTTATCGGTAAGCAACATAGGCTATGTTTTTAACTTCCATGGATGAAGTCGCTAGCAAAAGCTAGCTGTAATATAGCGTTCTAAATAGCAAAAGAATTTTTAAAATCAGTATGGTTATAATTTGTTCATTAAATACCACAAAACATGTTTAATCTGTAATTTGTGTCTTACCTTGAAAGGTGCAACAGCTTCTGGAGAGATATTACTCTTGAGTAGCAATGCCAGTCTATCACCAGCAGGGTCATCAGGGGCGGAGAGAAGAAGTCTAGTATTACATCTATGAGCCCAGGCGTCCCCCAGCGCGCCTACAACTGCCCCACTTGATAGACCCACTCTTGTACTCATCTCATTTGTTAAAACTACCTACAATTTGAAGCGAATTACCCAGTGTAGCCTAAGTGGGGCACTGACTTATAAACTTGTCAAAGAAGTTAATCTTTCTTAACGGGTTATATTTTAATTGATTCCAATAAAAATAATGCTTTTGTTATCTATATTAAAATATAAAGAGGAATGATATGTATTTTTTTGTATTCGATTCATGTAAATACTAGGTCGATTTTATATTTCACCATAAGAAAGGTAATTTATCTGTGAGTAACATAGGCTATTTTTGTTTATTGAACGACTTCGCCAATAATAATACCAAATATAGCTTTCTAATGGTGAAAGAATTTTTTTAATCGGACCAGTAGTGTTTGCGTGAATGAAATTCATAAAGATCCAAAAATACAAATCTTTCCTCTTTATGATTTTAGTGTATATAAAAGACATAATTAATTAACTTTGAATATTTACTGCTATTTGTCTTTCAACGGCAAGTCTCTGCAGTTCTGCCATTTGCCTGAACAACAAGCCAGTTCTTTGTTTTGCTGTTATACCATCTTTGAATGGAAATGCTATCGAATCTATTATTATTAGCCTTATCTGTAAAAAACACTTGTATAGAACACCATCGGCTCGAAGGACCAAAATTTGTCGACATTTTAGAGTGCATATAATACTAGTAATAAGTTTTGGTTTCATAAACTTCATACTCAAAGTAGACCTGTTTGATTCTGTCTTATTTCTATACCCTAAAAACTCTAATAATAATGGACAAGTCAAATTCATCAAATATAATAAGCCTGCACTCAAAGTGTCTCTAGTCCATAGGATTGGCACAGTAAGTACACTTCCATACATCTCTGTCAGCTGTCATATCTTAATTTTTATTACCTATATCTATACCTGTGGTTTAAGATATTTATTTCTCTAAGAATATACAATTTACTTAATGAGAAACATTTTTTTTTACATTTACAATTTACATCAGTAGTCTAGTTTATTATCATTTATATTAGGATTTTATTTTCTTCACAATTCTTTTTAATTTAATTTTAAATAACGACATTTTATTTTCATCTCTGATAACTTTAGGTAAAGTATTATATAACTGTACTCCTGCAAATGTTATAGTGTTTTGACCATAGTTTGCTCTAGGTTTTGATAATTTCAATTTATATTTGCTTCTGGTTTGATATCTATGAGTTCTCTTTTTAAGTACTATTTTTGAATTTCATTTGTTATTTTTTTTTTATAAATATGCAGGTTTTGTATGTGTAAAGTTGTGTTATGTTAAAGATATTAGATTATACCTCCTCAAGGATATCCACTTTCACACAATCCATCCATACATGCTTCAATCTTCTACTTTTGTAGCTACCCATATTCAATCTTACCTACTCTATATCATTGATTCTTACATTATTTTCTTCAGCAAGGAATTTAGGTAACTGATACATGAAGGCGCAGAACTTTTCCAAGCCAAATGCACCAACATAATGTACATTTTTCAATGCTTCTTCTTCACTCATGTTACATTCTTCAAGAAGCTTATGACATTTTGTTAATGTTGCTGAGAGAATTTCTGAAAACGATATTTCTTGCCACTTATATTGTAACAAAAGAGAAAAAGACTATATTTATTACATTATATAAGTATATAAGTTTTTTTTTATAAGTACTGAACAGACTAAGATGTGGTCCGCAGCTATTTTATATTTCTGAATACAATTTTTATAGAGTCCAGAATATTATTGTTTCATTTAAAATAGTAGTTTTTGGTATAATTCATATACAAAGATATCTATACTAATATTATAAAGAGGAAAGATTTGTATTTTTGGATTTTTGTATGTATTGAAATAACTTAAAAGTACTGGGTCTATTTCAAAAATTCTTTTACCATTAAAAAGCTATGTTACCGGTGAGTAACATAGACTGTCTTTTTACTAATTTTTTTGTTCACACAAAGTAAGTAGGGAGCAACAACTAGTGAATAATAAAAAGGATCATTCACTGGTATTAACCTGTAAATCTTTTAAGTACAAAATTGGTGTTTGTATCAATGTACAAGGCCTTTGCATTCAGTCCTCCAAGTGCTTCCGGAACCTGCACTGCGGCACATAGTTGTAAACTAAAATAGTAAAATGTTTCATATTTTAATAAAAAGATACATTATTTGAGTCTAGTTGAAATAAATAACACAAACTAGAAGGCATTAAAACATGAAACAAAAACCTTAAAGTTTTGAGTTATCACATAAAATATTAAATTATGTATTGAGCTTTACAAAATTGATGATAGGCAACTATAGTGTTAAATAATCAAAGATTTAGAAATAAAGGCATCTACAATACATACCAAATTTGTGTTTTACCTGTTCCAGGTAATCCTAGTAATTCAGTTATAGATCCTAATGGAATTCCATCAGTTCCTAAAATATTATCTAGTTTTTGACTAAACGTCGGAATTGAAGGTAAACTAGTTTCTCGCTAGAAATATATTTTTATTACATGAATGATAACATAAATTATTAATTGTATAACTTTCTACTTTGAGACTCACTTTCCATATTTCTGTGGAATTGAATATTTTATAGCCAGTATCCATTTGAAGATATTTTAATAGTTTGTCATCAGAAAAAAAAACAGCAAGTAAACAATTGGCAAATTAATATAAGACTTTTTGAATTTGCGAACTTCTAAAACTTTCCTTTATTCTTTTTAGGCTTCGCAATAAGTAAAAAAAGTGTTTTAGTCATTCAGCCACCACTAGTTACTTCATTCAAATCAAATGACTTTTTTATTCAAAGTCAACGAGGTCTTTTTTCGATTCTTCCATTGAGGGAATAGTTAGTTCCTTTCTTTTGTTGTAAATTGATATAATATTCTGAATAAAGTAAACATAGAACATTAACATTACATTAGTCTCAATGAACTATGTTCTGCTCTGATTTATTTTCACGATTAAAAAAAATGCAGTCAGCTGTCACTGTCAAACTGTCAAACGTAGTTGTGATATTAAAAACAAAACATCATTTCTTAAAAAATCATATATCTTGATTTTCAAAATGAACCAAATGAATATGCACGTCCCGATGAATACCGTAGGTGGTCAACCTAATGTTGGTATGCAAATGCCAGTTGCCGGGCCTATCATGCAGCAACCTTCTCCACAACAAATGCAACCAGCTATGTCTCAACAAACACAGCAAGATAAAATGGACAATATTTCTAAAGTTAAAACTCTAATGGGTTCACTTCGTGAAGCATTGACGGTAAGGAGGCACTCTATTCTATTAAAATATCTACATCATAATTATGAGATGAATGAGTGAAAGAGTTTTTCTTATTGTGCTGCCTATACATGTCTTTTAAATCATACTTGTATTTCATTTTAGATGAGCTTAAAAACTGGGGCGCAAATACTACATCAAAATCATTGCGCTGATTCCAACCCACAGTAAGTTTATGCACATTTTTTCTGTATTCCTAATTATTTGGCGCAGAACTCAACAGCAATTGATATGCAAAAAACATGTAACAATAAACACAAATAGTTGCTAAGTGGTTGAAACTCCACCATAGAAAGAGGTATAATAGTTTTCAAATATCTTGATGGGTTTTAAATTTTTGGGTTGATGCCCAGAACACAATTTTAGTTGTAGCTGAATGGAGGAGGGAAGTATGCAGTGTACCAATGACCCTGAGCTGCCAAGATATTTCAATACAACCATACAAAGTTCTTACTTGTCTTAATATAATGTAATCTATTTCAGAAAAAGTCTTGAGAGTCCTGTGCCAAGGTTTGATAAAAACTTAGAGGAATTCTTCTCACTCTGTGATCAAATGGAATTACATTTGGTAAGCATTGTTATTTCAGTTTATTCAAATAAAAATTACTTTTAGATACAAACAGCCCTTAAAACCATTGGCCAATTAAAACAGTAACATCTTTATAGATGGTATCACTTAAGACAAACTCTCATGGCATCCCTAAAGAGGTTTAACTGATTTATAAGTGTGTACATCTAAGAATTGTATTTTTGTATGTATTAAAATACTTCAAAAACTACTGGACCGATGTTAAAAATCCTTTTACCATTAGAAAGGAAATTTAACTATGTATAACATAGACTATATATTTCACATGGACCATGTCACGGGCAATAGCTAGAAATGCAATTCTTATAAGATGTAACTCTTTTATGGGATCCTATTGAATATGTAAATGTTATAGAATTCATGATATTTCTAAATATTAACTCCATTTATAATCTAAAATAGTTCTTGACTTTTCTGGTTTGGCTTGATAGCTGAAATAGTAGTTTTGTTACTATGTATAATTTAATATCAACATTGTAAGGCATTAGGATTTGTCTCCGAGAAATAATTAACTTATTGACCCAACAACCAAGCATTGAATATATTCTCTATTTTATAACTAGTTTGAACTCAGAAACATTGTCATTCTGCTTATTCACATTGAGAAATCTGAGATAGTTATATATTTTGTACGCTGTTGCGCCAGTGGAAATACACCTTAACTTTTACAACTTTGATGTCTATTCCTTATGTAAATAATTGTGATTTAACGATTATCTTTTAATGATCGAATGATTCTCTTGAATGTCATTTGGAATGTAAATATTTTGAGTATAGAAATTAGTTACTATGAGGGAGTTTGTTATCTACTATAGTGTGTCTAAATAAGATAGATTAGTTTGATAAATGACGCATATGAAGTATCGAATTCAATTTGTATGAAAGCAAATGCCGTACTTAATAGATAGGTATCGTAGTGACGAAACAAACACGCATAGCGAACAATTTTGAGCTATCGTTATTTGGTTTAAATAATCGAACTCAACTAAAATTATTATTTTCTTATTAACTAATTTATAGGAAAATTCTAGTATTGATTATAGTGTAGAGAATTTAGCGATGACAGAAATAATAGCGAAATCCAATTCGATTACGTATGGCTGTAGTAGTAATAAACATTTATTTGATCTCATTTTTTGTTATGTTCATTATGTGTTTACCATACCATACCAGCGAACCGCAACGACGTGCATCCAACAAGCGCAGTCCGCAGCGCACTACCTGCCGCTCACAGTCAACACATCGAGACTTGACAGCGGACCACCTACACAAGTAAGATCATCAACCTGTCCTTGTCCCTACGGAGGGTCGGCAGTATGCTCCATACATCTCTAACAGCCGTCATATCTGAATCCCTCCCATAGGCATATCTTCTTTCATACAATCCGTACTTTCTAACTTTGTAGTAGTCCACATTCAAACTTAACACAGTACACAGTAACAATTCATATTTTCAAATTTAATATCAGTATGATAGGTAACAGAGGCTTTTAAAATTCGCCGTATAAAAATTTCATTAAGACTTCATGAATTAGAACAGGGGCGGCGAAGCACTGGCACGCATGCCCTAAATGGCACACGACATAATATTTAGGCACGTCGATAATCATAAAAACACGACGAAAAAACCATAAATTTGGTGCACTATTGAACTCACGCGATAATGCAAAATTAATCGATGGCACGTCTAAAACCGCATTGAACATTTCTTTAAAAAAATGGTACTTTTAAACAGTGTAATACCACGACCACACAGAAAACAGGCATGAAGTTGGAAGCAATTCCGTGTTGCATCTGATGAGTCTGTTGCCGGAAGCCTAATTTTAGACCCTTTCCCTTTTCACCCTTTTATTAATAGGAAAGGATGAAAAGGAAAAGTGGATTTGACGGTGGAGGAGACGCATAGGAAGGGAGGAGACGCATAGGGATTCCTCTTTATGTGCGACTCCTCCTCCGTCATTTAAGGGTAGGCAACACATCTGCAATTGCGGATGTTTATAGGCAGCAGTCGCTTTCTATTTAAGTGAATTAAAGTGGCAGCTTGCTCGTTTGCCACCTTATATTATAAAAAAAAATGACGCACAAATGTTCGCCACCCCTGTACTAGAACAATATAGTAGATTAGATTGGAGAGTTGGCAACCCACGCCTTCCCTTAGGTCAAAGAACTGCAGCTGTTTATCATTTTGGTTAGTTGATACCGCCATTCAGATCTTACTATAGGATTAATTGGGACGTGTATATTGATAATGTTTAAATTTATCTCGCAAACTAATTTAAATTGTGAACTTTGCTAACATTGTTTCATATAAACAGATTTGAACTGATGTAACTCGATATAGTTATGTGGCCAATTGGAGTGGAGTATGAATGTTGTTTTAGTTAATTTCGACAGAAATGTATGAAACATACTTTTATTATAATGGATAAGAGAAAAAGCTATATTAACTACATAGTTATTAGTGGCTAGTTATTATGTTACAAACTTATAACCCTGACATTTAAATCCTGGCTTCCAATTCACGAAACAAAATTTCCGTCTATGATATTTCTCTTTTTGACCGACTTCCCAAAAGAAGGAGGTACTCAATTCGTCTGTATGTTTTTTTTTTTTTTTTTTTTTTTTTTTTTTTTTT